CCTTAGTAGTTCCTCATGGCTTGATTATTCAGGATCACCTGAAGTTGGGGAATCCTCCTCATACATCATCAGAAGGTCACAAGAAGCCTAATTTTACATCACAATGCCTATATCATTCACCTCACTTTATCTCAACGTGTAAGCATTGAATTATCTGACATGATCACCAGAGAAAGGGTGAGTACTATACAATAAGATTTTTTGAGAGATTACATTCACATAACTTTCATTACAGAATATTGTTTTAATTGTTTTATTTTATTATTATTATTACTTTCTTACTGTGCATAATTTACCAATTAAACTTTATCATTGCCCTAGCCGGCATGTCTCAGTGGATAGTGTCAGCCGTGCACCAAAGGCTCTCGTGTTATATTCCTGGTCAAGGGCATGTACCTGGGTTGCAGGTGGGAGGCAACCGATTGATGTGTGTCTGCCACATTAATGTCTCTCTCCCCCTATCTCCATCCCTCCCTTTCACTCTCTCTAAAATCAATGGGAAAAAATCCTTGGGTGAGGATTAACAAAAAAAATAAATAGACTTTATTATAGACTAGAGGCCTGGTGCATGAAATTCGTGCACATGGGGTTGGTAGGTCCCTAAGCCTGGCCTGCGCCCTCTTGCAGTTTGGGGCCCTTCTGGGGATGTCCACCTGCTGCGGAGGTGGAAGAGGCTCCCACCATCACCGCTGCTCTTGCCAGCCCTGAGCCCGGATTCTGGCTGCGCAGCGCTCCCTCTTTGGGAGCGCACTGACCACCAGGGGGCAGCTTCTGCGTTGAGAGTCTGCCCCCTGGTGGTCAGTGCAAGTCATAGTGACTGGTTGCTGTTTGGTCAATTTGCATATTTGGGTTTTATTATATAGGATATATATATAGGAAAGAACATAGTACATGTAGGAGGCTCAGTATTATCTATAGATTCAGGCATCCAGTGTGATCTTGGAACCTATCCCCTGTGGTAAGTTGCTCACCATTCTCAGTTGCATGATGAAATCTCATACCATCTCACCCAGGACATGAATCATGCTTTTGTACAGCATATCCATGCTGTATACATTACCCACCTGTTAGTCCTTAGTAGTTCCTCATGGCTTGATTATTCAGGATCACCTGAAGTTGGGGAATCCTCCTCATACATCATCAGAAGGTCACAAGAAGCCTAATTTTACATCACAATGCCTATATCATTCACCTCACTTTATCTCAACGTGTAAGCATTGAATTATCTGACATGATCACCAGAGAAAGGGTGAGTACTATACAATAAGATTTTTTGAGAGATTACATTCACATAACTTTCATTACAGAATATTGTTTTAATTGTTTTATTTTATTATTATTATTACTTTCTTACTGTGCATAATTTACCAATTAAACTTTATCATTGCCCTAGCCGGCATGTCTCAGTGGATAGTGTCAGCCGTGCACCAAAGGCTCTCGTGTTATATTCCTGGTCAAGGGCATGTACCTGGGTTGCAGGTGGGAGGCAACCGATTGATGTGTGTCTGCCACATTAATGTCTCTCTCCCCCTATCTCCATCCCTCCCTTTCACTCTCTCTAAAATCAATGGGAAAAAATCCTTGGGTGAGGATTAACAAAAAAAATAAATAGACTTTATTATAGACTAGAGGCCTGGTGCATGAAATTCGTGCACATGGGGTTGGTAGGTCCCTAAGCCTGGCCTGCGCCCTCTTGCAGTTTGGGGCCCTTCTGGGGATGTCCACCTGCTGCGGAGGTGGAAGAGGCTCCCACCATCACCGCTGCTCTTGCCAGCCCTGAGCCCGGATTCTGGCTGCGCAGCGCTCCCTCTTTGGGAGCGCACTGACCACCAGGGGGCAGCTTCTGCGTTGAGAGTCTGCCCCCTGGTGGTCAGTGCAAGTCATAGTGACTGGTTGCTGTTTGGTCAATTTGCATATTTGGGTTTTATTATATAGGATATATATATAGGAAAGAACATAGTACATGTAGGAGGCTCAGTATTATCTATAGATTCAGGCATCCAGTGTGATCTTGGAACCTATCCCCTGTGGATTAAGGGGGTTGCCTACTGTAAAAGTGAAAAAAAAAAGATCACCTATAGTATGTTTGTATTCATATGAATGTCCCAAGCAGGCAAATTTATAGAGACAGTAAGTAGATTAGTACTTGCTAGAGCCTGTTGGTAGTGCAGTATTGGGACTGACTGCTAATAGAAATGGGATTTATTTTGGGGATGATGCAAATATTCTGACATTTAGTGTTGATGGTTGTACAACGTAATAAAATGCACTGAAGTGTACACTTTAAAATAGTGAATTTTATATTGTGTGAAATATATCAAGATGCTGTATAAAACAATATTTGGTCTATAGTGATATGCGTTTTATAGTTTGATAAATATTGCCAAGTTGTCCTACATTGAGGTGGTATAATTTATATTCTCAGAAGCTATGTATGAGTGCTGTTTTCCTCACATTCTTGCCATTGTGGTTTGTCATTAAAAGTTTTAATCTTTGCCAGTATTACTATTGAAAAATGATAACCTAATGTAGACTATTATATTTCTCTAGTTATAATCAAGATTGATTATCTTTTCATGTACTGAAAAGTCGTTTATATTTCCTTTCCCATAATCTTTCCATTCTTACCTATTGTCTGTTTTTTTATTAGTGTTGGTTTTTTTTCTTATTGATTTGTAGAACAGTTTTATATGTTATCTTTTTTCCCTACGTTGTTTTTCTTTCGACATAATGGTGTGTTTTTATTATGAGCACTATCTTCAATGTGTAATAGTGCCCATTATAGCATTGCTCCATCTTCTTTCAAGCCAAAATCATAAGTCCTATCTCAATGACATCATTGATGAGGTCTCTTCAGTTTTCTGGTGCTTATCATTGTACTCCTTCTAAGCTGTGTCAGCTTAACATATCTATTTGTAAATGTGTTTGTATATCTGATATTAGAATATTTTTGAGGGGAATGAAATGAGGAAGGAGGGTTTGAATACAATCATTGATCCCAAATTTTGATTTTAGACAAGTATTAAAATGAAAGTAATTTATTACTTTTTTCTCTAACATGTGAAAAACAAAATCAGTAGATTAATACATAGATGTGTGCCCTGGCCAGTGTGGCTTGGTTGGTTGGAGCATTGTCCCGTACACCAAAAGGTAGCAGGCATATGCCCAGGTTGCGTGTGCAATCTCTCATCATGGCTCATGGGGGAGACAAATGATCAATGTTTCTCTCTCACATTGATGTTTCTCTCTCTCTCCCTCCCTTCTCTCTAAAAATTATTAAAAATGTATTCTCTGTGAGGATTTTTTTAAAAAGTATTATGAGAGAATTTAATGTTCCTTGCCTGTTTTTGGAAAATAAGTAAATAGGAGCTTTGTGACATACTTTTGATAGGGTGGTCAGTGAAGACCTTTCTGAGGAGGTAGCATTTAGGCACAGACACAGTTGAAAGGAGTCAGCCATGGGGAATCTGGAGAAGGACATTCTGTGCATTAAGGAAACATGGAATTGGAAGCTGTAAGATGGCATCTTTGAGTAGCAGAAAGGAGGCATTATGGCTGGAGCTTAGTAAATTGGGGTAGAAGAGGTAAAGAGACAATGCTAAGGGCTTTGGACCTTGCATTGAGAAATTATCAAGAGTATTAAGCAAAGGGGTAACATTATGCTTGAGAAGACTACTTTGGCTTCTAGATGGAGGATGAAGAAGATGGTAAGAAAAGAAACAGGGACAGTAATTAAGAGGCTGTGGCCAGAGCCATACCAGAAATAAGGATGGTGGCAGACTAGATGGAGAAGAATTCTTAAATTCTAGGTATGGTTTAAAGGTAGAGTCAGCCCAGCATGGCTCAGTGGTTGAGCATTGACCTATGAACCAGGAGGTCAGGGTTCGATTTCCTGTTAGAGTTACCTGCCTGGGTTTCGGGCAGCTGATCAATGATTCTCTCTCATTATTGATGTTTCTATCCCTCTCTCCCTCTCCCTTCCTCTCTGAAATCAATAAAAAATATTAAAAAAAAAACACAAAGGTAGAATCAGCTGGATTTTATTTGTTGGGTGTTAGGGATAGTGAAAAGAAAAGATACAGATTATCCCAGGCAAATGTTACTAAAATCTATTTAAGTACTCTTCATGGAATCAAGTATGGGATGTAAGGATTATAAATAATGATACATAAGCTTATATTTGTGTAATGCTTTGAAAATACTGCCACATCTATAACCTCATTTGGGGTCCTTTAATTTTTTTTAATTGAAACTTGTTGGCAGTTCAGATACAGTGGGGCCTTGACTTACAAGTTTAATTCGTTCCGAGACCGAGCTCGTTAAGGAGCTCGTTAACTCAAATTACTATATCAACTCAATGAAAAATCGGCCGAGAGACAGCTGGTATCTCAAAAAACTCGTTAGTCGGGATACTCGTAAGTCAAGGCCCCACTGTATTTTCTGAGTTCGGTTCATTTTTCTAAAATAGATCTTAACTGGCATTCAGAAGTATTGAGACTACTTAAAATTCTCATACACAAAAGGCAATCCTTCCCAAAACTAAACATTATCCTTTTCAAAATTAGTGTGGTTTTTTTGGGGGGGTGGGGGTGGGGGGAGGAGGTGTAATTTATTTTTTAAGGAATGGAGTAGAAGTTACAAAATTTTTCTTAAATTTTTAAATGTTCCAGACTGTTACATAATACAGTTAAGTTAACAGAATTCACATTAGATTGCAGTGATTATTAAACATTTTTACTTTTGGAATAGAGGTTATTGCACACTGTATAATTTGATGTAAAATTAAAATAAAAATCTTAAAGCTACCACATATATATTCAGTACTTTCTAGTGTAATTTTGTTATATATGATATGAAAATCTGCAAATTAATGACTTTTTCCCTTCCAGGCCTTTTCAAAAATTCAGTTTTTAGTATTAATCTTTAAATAGAACAGATTTCCATGAATCAGTGTATTAGTTCCTCAAGGAAAAATGAAATCAATCTTATTTATTTTTCAGAGGTGGCTGGATCCAAACAAACCAATAAGGAAGCAGTTAAAGAGTGAGCATATATATTTACTTCATGTTTTGTAAGTGTACTTTATAAAGATGCAGGATTAATATAATCTGATTAATTAGAACTGCTTTTATTAATTCTAGGAGGATCTCCTTACAGTTTGAACTTCAGAGTCAAATTTTTTGTAAGTGACCCCAACAAGTTACAAGAAGAATATACAAGGTGAGTTTATGGAGCATATTTTTCTTAAAAATATTTTCAAAACTATTATAAAATTATGAAATTAATTAGGCAAAAATAGATTGCCATGCCATAATTCTGAGTTTACTAGCAGCACACAGAATAGGTCATAGATGTTTCAAGAAAACAGTTTATTTCCCTCCTGTATGACAGGTAATGCTTTAGGACAGTGGTCGGCAAACTGCGGTTCGCAAGCCACATGTGGCTCTTTGGCCCCTTGAGTGTGGCTCTTCCACAAAATACCGACTTCTGCACATGGGCCACGAAGTTTCAATCGCACTGTACATGCGTGCCCGCACGTGGTATTTTGTGAAAGAGCCACACTCAAGGGGCCAAAGAGCCGCATGTGGCTCACGAGCCGCAGTTTGCTGACCACTGCTTTAGGAGATTGGAACCCCAGGGCCACCCCATCCAGCCACAAGAAGCCTCCTGAGCTACATAAATATTAAGATTTTCCAGTGAAAACTGGTTAAGCTGCTTTGCTGTAACTAATTGAAGTAATCAGATACTGCTTCATTTTAAGCGGTGCTATATAGTGAGAATTGTGCCTGCTTTTCCCCCTATAAAAATATTTGACCCTTGAAAAACATGGAGGTTAGGCACATCGACCACCTTTGCAGTCAAAATCTGTGAATAACTTAAGTTGTCCTCCATATTAGCTGATTCCCAACTGCAGATTGAAAATACAAGAATGGCCCAGATGAGTATTTTGATAGTATATTAATGTTAGATAACTGTTTAAGGTATAAATAGTGAGGAATAATCACAGTGTGGTAACTGTCATTATTAAAATAACCTTAAGAACCCTGGCCAGTGTGGCTCGGTTGGTTGGGTATGGTCCTGTGCATTGAAAGGTTGCCAGTTCCATTTCCGGTCAGCCCACATGCTTGGGTTGCAGACTCGATCCTTGGTAAAGGGGTGTGTAGGAGGCAGCCAATCAATGTTCCACTCTCACATTGATGTTTCTCCCTTTCTTTCCCTTCCTCTCTCTCTAAAAAATCAATTTAAAAAATCTTTAAGTAACCTGAAGGATAACCATGTGTGTTGCTTGAAAGATAATTAGTAACTCACTAGTAGCCCTGCGCATGAATTCGTACGCCAGTAGCTCTCTGAGGGGCCTGGCCGCTCCGTGCCCGCTGCCCAGAGGCCCATCTGCAGCTGGGCGCAGAATGCTTGCCTTGTCACCGGGGCGATGATGCAAGCATTCCACCAGGCCGCTCATGCTGCCCACTCTCAGCGGCCGCCCCCCCAGGACTGGGGGACTCCAGCGGGGCTGAGGACTGTGCGCTGCCATCTTGTGGCTATGGGTGCCGCCATCTTTGTGATGGAGTGACGGTTAATTTCCATATTGCCCTTTATTAGATAGGGTTAGCAAAATAAGATAGAATAAATATTAACATATTATACCTTCCATAAAAGATATAAGAATATAGGTCAGTGACTATATTCACAATTATTCTAAAAGTTAGGTGCCAAATTTAAAATCTGTACCTAAAGTTACCTGTAGATATTAATGTATTGGTTATCCTTTAGAATACTAAGGTGAAGTAGAACAACAAAAGAATATATTAAAGACATTTCCCTGCCAATCCTCAGGTGTTTCTGAAGTAGAGTTTTCAGTAGATAAAGTAAGAAAAATTAGATTCACATCCTTTAGAGTCCTTTTCTATGTGTTTGTTGATGGGGGAGTGGGGACAGTAGGTTACCTTTTTTATAACAGGAGAATTCAAGAATATAGGCTCTGGATTAGGTAGTTCAAACTAATAGTATCCAAGTTAATTTATCTTGAAAAGCAAAATTGTGTTATATGAATACCCTTTAGTTTAATACTGTTGCTCTTAGATTTTGTTGTTGTTGTTAATTAAAATAACAAGATTTTTAGTATAGTAAAACCTATTCTTGGATGAACTTCAAGGAAGCTACACTGAATTAATGAAAATTGTGATTTGTAAAGTATTTTTAAATGCATTTTATTGTTCCCTGGTACATATAACTTGAAATCAAGTAGCAAAGTATTCTATAATACAGGGTGTGCCCAAATAATGTATACACACTTTAACAGCTGGTAGCTCAGTTGATGTTTCTTTCTGTGGAAGCAAGTTCCTCCTTGATCCTTCTTGAGGAGCACAGTTCCTTGGACACAAGGTATTAAACGGAGAAGACAAGACACATGGTAGGCATATAGGAGAGACTTTATTGTAGACCCAAGTAGCCATTGCTAACAAGGAGCCATCAGACAAAACAGTTCTTCAAAGTAGCCAAAGCAGCCATGCACCAGCTGGTCAGTAACACATCTTTATGCGAACTCAGACAAAAGAGGCTTCTTGCCAAATAGTGACATTAATATTTGGGTTATAGAAAAGTATGCCTGCGCAGTGTGTACAGTAAAACTGCTGTGTCATTGCCTTTGCACAAGTGTATGGCAAATTGGCCTTGAACATCCGGTGTACTCTGGTTAGGGTTCCCACACTTTCTCTTCAGATTTAACCCATTGAAATTAATAATTATTCAAAATATGTATGCATTTTTCAGAACATCCTGTATGTTTTAGTAATCAGATTTTTAAATGTGTAATAAATATTTGTAATTAAAAGATCAATACATTTAAATTGGATTTCTAATATATTTAATGTTTATTGAGTTTGTTAGCATAAGTAATTAAAATATTGTCAATTATAGCTATATTCATAATTTACTCAAAAAACTGTCTTTGACTTTCTTAACAAAACTTGAATGTGTTGATTTTTATATAGCTTTTTTGAAGATATAATCAAGGAATAAATGTGTCTCACTGATAATTAAATCAAAACATATTCCTGAAGTAGAAGAAAGTAAAATCAAATTTTATAGTAATCGAGGAAGTATTTACTCAGTCCATCAGTCTAGAAAATTATCTTTGTTTTCACTAGAAATAATACATTATTTCAAAAATCCTTTATAATGGATTTGTAATGTTCTAACTGGCACTATTTGGTAATTGGGGTAAGTGGCTAGTTTTTACTTTATTACCGTAGTGTACATTGTGCATCAGTGAATCTCTACACTGATTACAAATTAGAATCACTTAGGGTAGCTCTTGCTTTGGCCACACCCCCTGGGTACTCTGATTTAATAGGTCTCAGATGGGACCTGTGCATAAGCATTACAAGCTTCCCAGGTGACTCAAATATTCCCCTAGGTTTAAGAAATACTCCTTTAAAACTTTAGTGCTTAGGTAGCTTTAATGCGATGGTCCGGATTAGTAATAAGACACCCTTGGGGCCACAGTTGCTAATTGTAAGGACTACTACAGTGATGGCGAACCTTTTGAGCTCGGTGTGTCAGCATTTTGAAAAACCCTAACTTAACTCTGGTGCCGTGTCACATATAGAAATTTTTTGATATTTGCAACCATAGTAAAACAAAGACTTATATTTCTGATATTTATTTTATATATTTAAATGCCATTTAACAAAGAAAAATCAACCAAAAAAATGAGTTTGTGTGTCACCTCTGACACGCGTGTCATAGGTTCGCCATCACTGGACTAGTATAAGCCCCACAAAACAGGAAATGAGCTATACCTCCTTACCTTGGGATTCCATTTTAGGTTAGTGGTAAAAAAAAAAAAAAGAATGGACTTACAGAGCTTCCAAATGAAACATAATTTACTTTTGCTGGCATCATTGGAATTGGAGTTTTCCCAGGAGTTGAGAGAATACAAATGACATCACTTTTCATACCTTTTTAGAGCATGATAAGTGTTTAATTCATGGTATTCATTATTGTCTGCATTAGAAAAGTTTCGTTATTTTTGCAGCTTGTAAAGGTGATTATCTATACTTACCTCAGTCATTATTAACCTGTTTTAAAGGTCTTGATTGTCTTTTAAAATTAGGCTTGTATTTTCTGTTTAGGGCCCCTGAGGTACATATACTAGGCTGTGATTCTACTTTCTTTTTACAAATAGAGAAACAAGACCCAGCCAAATTTTAAGTAACTTGCCAAAGATTATAGGCTGGCTTACTTTAGGACTTATAGTTTTGATTTAGCTTATTCTGGTTTCCATTCTGTCAGTCTTTAATGATTAGTATGTAAATAAAATTCAGCAAGCACATAGGTATTATTTGTGTAGTATTCAGAATATTATGTCAAGGATATACATGACCTTTCAATCCTAACTATAAGATTGTTTCCACCAGGAACCTTTAACTTTTTTTTTTTTATCCTCATCTAAGGATGTTTCCCATTGAATTTTTAGAAAATGTGGAAGGGGGTCATGAGAGGGAGGGAAAAAAAAGGAGAGGGAGGAAAGCATCGATTGGTTACCTCCCGCTCTTGCCCCAATTAGGTGATCAAACCTGCAACTGAGGTATTGTCCTCGACCAAGAATTGAACCAAGGGTTGACATTCTAACCACTGAGCAACCAGCCAGACCAGGGACCTTTAACTTTTAATTATGAAACTAAGATGGCTGGATAAAAATATGTTGTCTTAGATTGAGTAAGCAATAATATTTGTAATATTATGTATTAAGCCTCAGAGAATTTATTAATATTCTAGAGGCCCGGTGCATGAAATTGGTGCATGGAGGGTGGTCCCTCAGCCTGGCCTTCACCCTCTCCAATCTGGGACGCTTTGGGGGATGTCCACCTGTTGGTTTAAGCCCGATCCCTGTGGGCCTAAACCAACAGTGGACATTCCTCTCACAATCTGGGACTGCTGGCTCCTAACCACTCACCTGCCTGATTGCCCACTAACTGCTCCCCTGCTGGCCTGATTGACACCTAACTGCTCCCCTGCCTGCCTGATCACCCCCAACTGCCCTGCCCTGCCAGCCCGATCATCCCCAACTGCCCTCGCCTGTCGGCCATCTTGTGGCGGCCATCTTGTGATGACATTGCACGTGACGCTACGTAGGCTTTTATTATATAGGATGAAGCCAAGATATTTGTATCAGCTCTTTTAAAAAAAAATTACAATCAATACCTAATTTTCTGAAACCTTAATTACATTCTTTGGTAATTTGAATGGTCGTGGAACTCTTTAATGACTTTAATCAAACAAAATTTTTAATGATTTTTAACTCTTGGAGTATGTATCCTCTTTTTAGTGCGGTGAAGTAAAAGTCTGTAAATTCCTTATTTAAACATTTAAAGCCACAAATTTTGGTCTTCTACCAATATTATACAGCACAGGTGGTTTTGCCCAAGCATTGATACATCTGTGCGGGAATGACTTCACCCACTAGCAGGGACAGGACAGTGCCATCTTGTAAGCAACCCTAGTATTCTTGTTATAGGATACTTATTTATTTATTTTTTTTAAGGAAATTGGGTACTTGGCAATTCTAATATTAGATCAGTTGTAGGTAAAGGAACTTATGTGGGTTTTTTGTTTTTATTTAATCAAAGAGAGGTTTCTTAACTCATATGAAGAGGGAAAGGTGCTTTTCTGCAGTCAGTAGCTTCTTGCTGCCATAAGATAATCAGCACACAGGCCTGTTCTTGAAGTTGGCTTCCTATCTCAGCAGAAAGAATGATTTTCTTCTACTGGTCTCTAGTGCATTGTTACTGTCAGCTCTCCTATGTCTGCTGTGCTTCCCAGCATACTTTCTGCATACACCAATCCTTAGAGTATTTCTCTCTAATCTTCTCCCTAGGTCATGTAACTCTTAACAAGCGTTAGGAGTTTTATAATGGATCTAGTGGAAACAATACAGTTGCAGTACAAAAATTTCATTTATCAAACAATTTTAAAACTTGGATTCATGAATTTATGAAAGCTTATTTTTAAAATATCTTGTGTTAATATGTACATTATTGAAGTAAATACTTAAATATTTAAATTTTTATTTGTTAATATAAGTATATAGTTTTTAATATCTAAATGCTATAATTCCAATAAATGCTAACTATCTTTTTTTTTTTAAGGTACCAGTATTTTTTGCAAATTAAACAAGACATTCTTACTGGAAGGTGGGCTATTATACATTTTTAGTAATAAGTTTAAGAATACTCTTAGTTCTATATTAAGAAATTCAAGACCTTTGCAAAATATTGAAAAAAGGTTACATATAACATTAATTCCTTTCATCAAATAAGTTCATTACTTAATAGTTAAAATATAAGTCAACATGGAAATTTCAAGTGTAACTAGTATATTATAAATTATCGTGCTTTTGAAATCATTGTGTGTAACTTTGGGCTATGTATTTTCTGTTTTGTTTTATTAGATTGCCCTGTCCTTATAATACTGCTGCCCTTTTGGCTTCATTTGCTGTTCAGTGTAAGTATCAGCCCAGGATTTTATTTTTTATTGATTTTTCGAGATGGAGGAAGGGGGAGAGAGAGAGATACATTGATCAGTTGCCTCCCATACTCACCCCAATTGGGGATGGAACTCATAACCCAGGCATGTGCCCATACTGGGAATCAAACTCGTGACCTTCAGGTGCTCTGTACAAAGCTCCGACCAACTTAGCCACACCAGCCAGGGCCGGCAAATAACATATAATTACACTAGAGGCCTGGTGCACGAATTCGTGCACTGGTGGGGTCCAATCGGCCCACCCCAATGGGGGCCGATCGGGGATGGGGCCAGCCAGGGCAAGGGGCCTCAATTGTTCCAGTCATTCCGGTCATCTGCTATTTGGTCGCTGGACTTTTATTTTATAGGATTAGCTTAGCCATAACAAAATATCATAAATTTGTGTGGCTTTAACAACAGAAATGTATTTCTCTCACAGTTCTGGAAGCTAGAATTTGGGGTCAGGGTACTAGCATAGCATCGTCCCATACACCAGAAAGCGGTGGATCGATTGCCAGTCAGGGCACATGCCCAGGTTGCAGATTCAATACCCAGTCCAGTGAGTGCAGGAAACAACAGAATAATGTTTCTTTCTCTCTCTCCCTTCTTCTCTCTGAGATCTATTAAAGTGAATGATAAAAAATGTTCTGTAAGTATGGTTTTAACAGGAAGGACATTAGTGATCTATGAAGTGAAAAACTCGTTATAACACATATATACAGCATGACCCCATTTTTCAAAAAAATATTTATTGATTTCAGAGGAAGGGAGAGAGAGATAGAAACATCAGTGATGAGAGTCATTGATCAGCTGCCTCCTGCACGCCCCCTACTGGGGATCTAGCCCGAAACCTGACTAGGAATCAGATCGTGACCTCCTGATTCATGGGTCGATGCTCAACCACTGAGCCCCACCAGCCGGGTCCCATTTTTATCAATACCAGGCACATGAGGTACATTGGCAAGATCTCACTCCTAGACGAAAGTCTGAAATTGCCCAAACTCCTTTGCAACTAGGTTTCTGGATATGAATTCATTTCTGCCGATTGGATGCACTTGCACAATATTTTGAAGGCAGAAGTAGGGCAGAGGCATCTTCCTGCAGTTTGGGCTGTTTGCTGCTGGTGATCATGTTTGCAGAGATGTGGAGGTTTTCTGCAGCAGAATCCAGGCTGTGCACAGGCAGTTGTGACAGAGGCAGTGTCCATTGACCTGTTTTGTGGGAGCTGGGGGGCACTTGCGGGGCTGGGGGGCACTTGCGGGGGCAGCAGTTTCCTGATACTCGGGTCACAGCTGCTCCAGAGTGTCCTAGTATTCAGTTGTGTCAGAGGGGGCAGCTCCTCCCTCTGAGCAGGGAATCTTTCCTGGGGGCCCAGCCTAATACCCACTCCTCCAGTTTTCTGATGATTTCCCAAGCACCAATTCACTGTGCTAAATTCTTTCCTGCCTAAAATAGCAAAGATCTAAAAACATTTTGGATCCTCTACTTCCAACGAAAACAATGCTGCACAGGGTCACGTATGAGAAGTGGGTGAGGTGTTGCAGAAGGCTCCCTTCTTTGAGACTCAGCTTCTTCTGTAGAACGGAGACCAAAGATTATCTGTTCATATTTACTGAAGACTGTGGCAGCTGTGTTTCCCGAAAATGGCAACAGCATTTCCCATTTCTCCTGTGGCCTTGCCACTTTCTGCTATGTCCTCTCTCTTGAAGCAGGGCTGACATCTGACGTGCTGGTAGCCAGTACAGTGATTCCCCACAGAATTCCAAGGCCAAGGCTGAAAAGGCATTGGGGCTGCAGCCCTGCCCACTCTGCCAGGGTTTCCAGCTCGGGCCCCGCCCACACCGCTCAGGGCTCTGGCTGGCACTGAGCATTGCCCTCCTGGCTCTCTTCCCCTCCGGTTGGCAGCCAAGCGCCTCACTGCACACCATGACCCACCTGCTGGTGCTGCTCGGCCCAGCAGGCGGGGTAAGAGCCCACGTTGGGCCTTGCGCCTCCTGGTTCCTATGTGCCGCCGCCCCGTCGCCCCTATTCCTGCCGCTGCCCAGACCAGGGCCAGACGCCTGGGTGCTGTGCTCGCCCTGCGGGGACTTCTGTGGTCACCAGGAAAGCCTCCCCACCCCATCCCTGATTCCGGCACCCTAATCCCAGGTCCACTTCCACCAAAGGAGAACTTTGCCCGTGAGGCTGCCTGAGACTGAGCACCTCCAAGGTCCCTGGACTCCATATTTCTGCCAGCCAAGGCAGTTGGCCGGCTGGCCCTGCCCTGATCAGGGTATTGGGGGCGATCTGGCCCAGATCAGGCTGGTTGGCTGCCACAGTGCGTATCATAGCCACTGGATGTTCTGGTTGTCCTGGTCATGCCGCTGTAATGGTCGCTGGGTTTTTATATATATAGACTAGTGGCCCAATGCACAAAATTCATGCACGGGAGGGGGGTTCCCTCAGCCCAGCCTGCATCCTCTTCTATCGGGGACCCCTTGGGGGATGTCCGACCCCCGATTTAGGCCTGATCCCTGTGGGGCCTAAACCGGCAGTCGGACATCCCTCTCGCAATCTGGGACTGCTGGATCCTAACCGCTCACTTGCCTGACCATCCCTAACTGCCTCTGCCTGCCTGCCTGATTGCCCCTAACTGCCTCTGCCTGCTTGCCTGATATCCTCTAACTGCCCTCCCCTGCCAACCTGATCTCGCCCCCAACTGCCCTCCACTACTGGCCTGATCTCGCCCCTAACTGCCTCTGCCTGCTTGCCTGATATCCTCTAACTGCCCTCCCCTGCCAACCTGATCTCGCCCCCAACTGCCCTCCACTACTGGCCTGATCTCGCCCCTAACTGCCTCTGCCTGCCTGATCATCCGCAACGGCCCTCCCCTGCCGGCCTGATCTTGCCCCCAACTGTCCTACCCTGCCGGCCTGATCACCCCTAACGGCCTCTGCCTCAGCCACCACCACCATGGCTTTGTCTGGAAGGAAGTCGGACGTCTGGAAGATGTCCGGTTGACATGGTCTAATTACAATATTACCCTTTTAGTGGTATAGATAGATTATATAGGATAGGATTGCTTAAATGGGGGGGGGGGAGCCTTTTTCATTAGGAGGAGATGCTCTTGGCAGACAAAAATACATAATCCCTATATCTGGACTGATAGCGAGCCATATGCATTATACTGCCAAACTGGTCATTAAAAAATTGAACTGTTTTCTTACCTTACACCAAACAGCTGTTGCCCTTAAAACCCCTCCTTAGCCCCCACCTTAGGTTCTGCCTTCAAAGTTCACCCAGATTAGGTTCTGATTGGTCAGTTTCTATGCCAGTCAGCATCAAAAGCTCCGCCTCCTAGGCAGCCATTGGCTCCTCACACTTTACCCAGATTTGGTTCTGATTGGTCAGTTTCTATGACAATTAGCATCTCCGGGCCTATCAACAGACCTGAGCAGAGAGGCGGGGCTGATCTGCAGAGGCCCAAGAGAAAGAGAGGCGTGGATGCTGGCCAAGCTCGGAGTGAAAGAGAGGCAACTGCTGATCAACAACTGCCACAGAGACTACGGATCAATCCCTGCTTTTCTCTCCAGTCCTCTCTTCGGGACTGATCCACAGCCCCCTTGGCAGTCAGTGCTGTGTCGGGGTGCCTACAGCGGCGGCAGTCAGTGCTGGGTCCCCATGGCAACCCAGCACTGACTTCTGGTCGGTCAAGCCTTTGATCATTTTGGATGTTATGGGTCCTGGGTTTTCATATATTAAGATGGTCTGTATTAATAGTACATTGCATTTAATGTATAAGTTCTTTAGACATAAGTTGCTGTGCAGAAGAAAGTGACTGCAGAGGAAATGTAATGACACTTCCAGTTAGTTAGCAATTACTTCAATTCCAGAAAAAATTCTCAAGGTGTTTTAAATCTAGAAGAATGTTATATGCGTTGTTATAACTTGTTTAAATGGTAACAGTAGAAATATAAATATTTTACTTCCAGAAATATAATGTAGTTCATGACTGCTGATTTGGCTATAAACATTAAAAAATGTGTTTATTAAAGTGAATATTTTTCTTTCATTTATTAGCTGAATTTGGAGACTACAACCAGTCAGAAAACTTGCCAGGCTACCTCTCAGATTATTCTTTCATTCCTAATCAACCTCAAGAGTTTGAAAAAGAAATTGCAAAATTACATCAGCAACATACGTAAGGATTTATTTATTTTTCTGCTTATTTGGTAAACTTTTTTGGCGGGTTAATCTTCACCCGAGGATATTTTTAGAAAGAGTGGAAGGAAGAGGGAGACAGAGAGAGAAACATCGATGTGAGAGAGAGAGACATCGATTGCTTGCATACCACACAAGCCCTGACGGGGTCAGGGTTTGAGCCTTTGACTGAAATTGAATCTGAGACCCAGTGCTCTAACCACTGAGCAACCAGCTAAGGTGGTAAATTTCTTAATGGCATCTTTTTTAGAGAAATGTTTTAAACTTTTTTAATATAATTGTTATATTTATTTAATGTAGAACAGTTACTATTATATAAAATAGTATAATTGTTATAAAGAAATATAGCTGATCTGTTTAAAAGAAAAACCATTGCTTATTTCATATGAGACTTGTTTTCATTTTTACTAAGAACTATAAAGGTATATGTAAACAGAAATTTATTTGCTATTATATAAAACTAGCGGCCCGGTGCACAAAAATTTGTGCTCTCAGGGGCGTCCCTCTGCCCAGCCTGTGCCTTCTCACAGTCTGGGACCCCTCGGGGAATGTCCACCTGCTGGCTTAGGCCTGCTTCCCGGGGGATCGGACTAAGTTGGCAGTCAGACATTCCTCTGGCAGCCCGGGAGCCCTCAGGGGATGTCCACTTGCCAGCAGGGAGCAGGCCTAAGCTGCAGTCGGACATCCTTAGCGCTGCTGAGGAAGCAGGAGAGGCTCCGGCCACCACCACTGTGCTGGCAGCCATCAGCCTGGCTTGTGGCTGAGCAGAGCTCCCCCTGTGGGAGTGCACTGACCACCAGGGGGCAGCTCCTGCATTGAGCATCTGCCCCCTGGTGGTCAGTGTGTGTCATGGTGCCCAGTCATTCCCAGTCATTCTTCTGTTAGGGTCAATTTGCATATTACCCTTTTATTATATAGAATTGCTAGTTTTCATTATATAAACTTTTTTTTACCTTCACCTGAGGATATTTTTTCCAGTGCTGTTCAGAGATAGTGGAAAGGAGGGAGGGAGGAAAAAATACATTGATTTGAGACACGTCAACTGGTTGCATGCACCCTGACAGGGAGTGGAGAGCGAACCCACAATCCAGGCACATGCCCTTGACCAGGAATCGAACCTGCGACCCTTCAGTGTGCAGGGCCTCGCACTAAGCACTAACCACTAACCACACCAGATAGGCTATAATCTTTTCATTAAATAAAGTTTTATATTTTATATAAATATATTAAGGTGAATTTTATTATATAAAGTTGCCAGGAATTTTAGAATATTAATCATATGTTCACAGTCTACTTACCAATTCTTTTTCCGTTTTTAGCTGTGTGAAGGGACTTTTTTTTTTTTTAGTAATAATGAGCCAAGAGGAGAAAAGGAACTTTATATAGTACTTAATTTATAAAAAAAATAGCACTTTAAATATAGTAGTAATTTTTCACTCATTACAGTATTCAACTTTGATATTTTATGTCTAATATTCTGTTACATAATCTTTTTCAAGAAGAGAGCTATTGTTTTGAATAGAAGGTAATATTGTTTATTGGGTCAGAGATCAGCTTTGCTTTAACATACCATTCAAATTACTCATGTAGAAGTTAAGGTGGTGTTGCATATTGGCTGAGTGTGTGAACTCAAGCCAGAATGTCTGGATTGGAATTCTGGTAAGGTTCCATACTATCATGTAACCTTGGCCAGATGGTTCTATGTCTCTGTTTCCTCATATGTAAATTGGGAATAATAAAAGTTACCTACCTCTGAAGTTATTGTAGGGATTAAGTAAGTTTATACATAAAGTATTCAAGACAGCGCCTAACACATAGTAAGCACTGAAGAAATATTAGTTATTATTATATTTATTATTTTTTCTCACTAATAATAATAGTAATTATTATTATCATTTTATTTAATTGATTTTTAGAGAGAGAGAGGGAGACAGAGAGAGAGAGAGAAACATTGATGTGAGAGAGAAATGTCGATTGGTTGCCTCTCATACATGCCCCAACTGGAGATCAAACTCACAACCTAGGTATGTGCCCTGACTGGGATGATGTGCAAGACCTTTCAGTGTATAGAATGATGCTCCAACCAACTTAGTCACACCAGTCAGAGTTAGCTCTGACTATTAAAGAAACTTTTATTTGGGAATGGCCTTATTTATTTAATACACATTGGCAAACTATAGCCCACTGCCTATTTTTTATGTCCCATGGGATAAGAATGGTTTGTATGGTTTAAATGGTTGGGAAAAAAATTTTTAAATAATAACATTTTGTGGCACATGACATATTGAGAAATCCTAATTTGTGTCCATAAATGAGCACTTCCTGGAACACAGATTCCCTTATTTGTCTACATGTTGTCTGTGGTTGCTTTCACATAACAGCAGTGTTTAGTAGTTGCAACAGAGACCATATGGCCTGAAAGCTAGCTCTTTCCAGTAAAAGTTTGCTGACCCTAATCTAAAATAAGACTCCTGAATGAGAATATTAAGATTGGCCTAATGTGGTAAGGGAGCTATTTTGGTCTAAAAGTAAATGCCATTTATAATGAAAGTTCTATACATAGCATATCCAAATCAAGGATTTGAAGATAAACCCAATTTATAAAAAATTTACCAATAATGAAAAGTCTCCTGCAAGGAAAAAGATTATAAATTTAACAAGGTATTAATTATATATTTCTATTTGGTTTAAAGAAATGATTCTTCAACTCTTTAAACAAAGAAAAAAAATAGAATCATCTAGTTTAACTGGGGATGGTGTGGGAAAGATAGAATATTTAGCTTAATTGAATTGTAGACAGATCTGAAATATATCTGCTTTTTTTGAGGAATCTCATTTTTATCATAAATTGGCAGGCTGTTGGTCCTTTTTTAGTATCAGTAGTGAATGAGAGGCTTATATCTTTGTTTTTGTAATTTGCTGCTCTTGCTCTGCTGTAGTCTGATAACAACAGATAACTAAGGTTGTTAGAACAGTATATATAATATAGAGGTAAGTCAGTTTTTAAAGGCATTTTAAATTATAGTTCTAAAACTTGTGTTTATAAGAATCACAGGGGATGTTTACTATCTGTTGTGAAAGACTAATTTTTCTCTACTCTGTCATGGAACAATACTTCTAAAATCTTCTATAATAATAAAAGCATAATATGCTAATTAGACCGACGTTCTTCCAGGCGACCTTCCGGATGAAGCTAGGGCTGCCCGGGTCCTGGGTGCCTGCTGGCGGTTAGAGAGAAGCCCAGGTCCCGGGTGCCAGAGGGAAGCTGGTGCCGGTGCCGGCAGCCGGGGGGGGGGGGGGGGGGGCCTACTCTTGCATGAATTTCGTGCATTGGGCCTTTAGTATATAATAAAAATGAATTAATAGAAAAGTAAAATGGAGAAATAAAGACAAAAAATTACAAGCCATTTTTTGTTAGATTCAACAGACATGAAATTACTCCACCAAAATTCTGTAAAACTCTGATTCTCTCAGTTTCCATATTTGTTATGAATCAATGCCTGTCTGTGCACCATTCTCTGAGAAACACTGCCCAAGAGTTTGTCTCAGAATCTATGTGTTTCAGAAGCAGTCTGTGTAATTTAAATGCAGATGTATACAAACACACTAAGTTATGTCTGGGAATGAGTGACTTTCTAACAGCCATAGGAGCAGCTGTGAACTTTTAAAACTTAATGAATTCTTATATTTTTCAAAAATAAGAAAATATTGTACAAAATAATAATTTATGTTACTGAAAGTGTACCCTCCAGATAAGTTAGATGTTACTGTACATAACTAAGAGGAGCAGTCATGCATGGTGTTTTGTAAAAGATTTAATTAGGATGCTGAAAAATGTCCAGATAAATAGTCTTTTCAATTTGGCCATATTTGTGATTGATTTAATTTTTAACCTAATGATGTCTTTACAGAGGCTTATCTCCTGCAGAAGCAGAATTTAATTACCTGAACACAGCACGTACCTTAGAACTCTATGGAGTTGAATTCCACTATGCAAGGGTAAGTGAAGAAATCTTACTTTGATATTGATGAGTTAGGCTCTATTGACATAGTAATGCCTAATAGCATTAGGTAACAAATGTAGTAACTAGTAAGTGCTGCCAGTATAGTTACACTGAAAATTTCCTTTAAGTGTAAGTATTTTCACACTCCCTTAAGATTCAATACCTAATGAAAATGGTTGAAGTAGATTTTTGATGTTATTTTTCTTCAAGGAAGTGATTTATGTAATCATGATAATTTCTGCAGAGCATAGGAGACGGTACCTTTAGAATTTTTATTTTAAAAATAAAGATTAAGTTATAGGAAAAGTAATTTTTTATATATTTAACATTTTTGATAAGCATTATCATAAAAGATGCTTTCACCACACTTATTTTACTTTCATCATTTAGCGATGTTAAACATTTTTATTTCTAAAGCACAAATGAAGCATATTAATATATTTTGGCTGTCCCCTTCCCCCCAAATCCCTTCATTAACTGGCTGGTGTTGCTCAGTTGGTTGAGCGGTTGCCAGTTCGATTCCCAGTCAGGGCACATGCCTGGATTGTGGGCTCCATCCCCGTAGGGGGCATGCAGGAGGCAGCCAATGGATGTTTCTCTCTCCCTCTCCTCTTCGCTCTAAAAAAATCAATTAAAAAATCTTTTTTAAAAAGGTGGAATTATGATCACTAGCTTCCCCACAGCACTCTTTTTTTTTAATTGAGTCAAACGTGGCTGCTTCCAAAAGACTATATCCTCCTGCCATAAGGATATTTGTGAGTGGCTATTCTTAGTACACCTGGATTCCTTCTCATATTTTATCAAGAGTTTATATTTCTGTAGAAGTAACTGGAGTACAGCTATTATCTGTAACCAGTGAAAAGTGGGAATATATAGGTAATCATCGGTTATGTTGGTGATAGGTTTTACATTCTCTTGGGACAAATTGCTGAGCCTAGTAAGAATAGCAGCCTGAAAGGGAGATAAGTTTTGTTTAGTTATTTTGAATTTATTTTAATTTATAGATATACACAGACAAACAATGGTTTGAGAATTCAAAGTTCTACTTCATATAATGGTTTTATTGTTTAGGGCCTCACCTGGTTATGTTCTGAGAGGAGCACTAAGTCTTATATTTCACAAAGCTTATGTCAGTCTCTCCTTTACAAATACAATGAGCCTAGCCGTCATGGCTCAGTGATTGAGCGTTGACCTATGAACCAGGAGGTCACAGTTCAATTCCTGGTCAGGGCACATGCCTGGATTGTGGGCTTGACCCCCATTGGGGGTCATACAAGAGGCAGCTGATTCTCTAATCATTGATGTTCCTCTCTCTCTCTCTCTCTCTCTCTCTCTCTTTCTTTCTCTCCCTCCCTCTCCCCCCATTACTCCCTGATACCAATTTTAAAAAATATTTTTTTAAAAACAGAATAATTTGCTTTCCTAATGTTACTATATCTGATCATTCTTAGTGTTTGTGACTTGGAAATCTGTGTAACGCCATTTAAAATGTGTAAGTCTCTGTCATAGACAGCAAGAGCACTGCTCAGCTCTGGTGCTCTGAGTTGCTCTGAATCCATATATTCTTCTAAATTCTTCCCCACTATGCCAGGGCAGGTTCCTTCTCGAACCCTGCCCACTGTACAAACTATTGGGAACTTGAGTCCAGGTTCCTCTTTTATCTTCCATCCACTAGATGCAGTTGTTGGGTCTGACCACCTCTGCCTAGTGCTGGACCTCCTTGGACATCAGGTCTTAGAGAAGCCATGAGAGGTTGTGGGTGTGTAAGAATGAGTTTTTATTGCAGAAGCCAGTGGCCATAAGCCATTAGACAAGACAGTCCATCATAACAGTATCTCAATCAGGCAGACGTACATGGGTGGTGAATAGATACCTTTTCCACATAGTCGCACCTCTAATAGTCTCTGTACCCACAGTCATTATCTGAGCAGTTGCACACTGGCCACTAGACCAGTGATGGCGAACCTTTTGAGCTCGGTGTGTCAAAATTTTGAAAAACCCTAACTTAACTCTGGTGCCGTGTCACATATAGAAATATTCATAATTTTTTTTTTGATATTTGCAACCATAGTAAAAAAAAAAGATTATATTTTTGATATTTATTTTATATATTTAAATGCCATTTAACGAAGAAAAATCAACCAAAAAATATGTATAAAATGAACAAAAACAGAAAAACAATGTACATTTAGGAAAAAATAATAATAAAAACAATGATAATCAAATGGTATGAAAACTAGAAATTAGTGACTTTTTTGGTGCTGAAGTTTGTCTGCTAGTTCTTCAATTGCAGGTTCATACTTGGTGAACTTCAAGGCCAAACACGCGCCAGTAACTTCATCTGTTAGCCAGTTTCTTTTGTTCGTTTTAATATTATTTAATGCTGAGAACAAAATCTCACAAAAATATGTTGATGAAAAAATTGTTAGCAAAGCCATCACTAGATTTTTTATGTCGCTAAAAGTGTCAGGTACTCTGTTACAAGCATTCAAAATTTCTTGTTCATAGTTGCACTCTTCTTCATTATTCAAATGATTTCGTTCCAGATTTTCAAGTTTCGACCTTAAGTCGACAAACACATGAGTCCAAATGCTACC